GCCTTGTATTGGTGCAATACTGCCCCCTGCTGCATCTACACAATATGGTACTGCACAATAGTTTCATAATATTTAAACTCAGTAGTTCAGTGATTACAGTATTAATATGATTGTATTTTAATGTTTTATTGTAATACTGTCTTAATGTTGTCCTATTGTTGTAATATATTGCAGTTTAGTGTCAATGATTGCATTGGCAATGTGGCCCCTTTCGGCACACATACAAACCAACTCCTGGCAATCCCCTCTGCCACAGCTCAAATGGTCTAATGGTTAATGCCATGGGCTTTCATGTGGGTGATCAGGGCTCAAACCCCAGCTACAGCAACTTTTACTAAAAAATCTCTACACACATCATATTGTTACACAATTATGCTCGCTACAAACACCTGCTGACTTCACAAGCACAAGCTGGTGTAGAAAATACATTTGAACTTGGTCAAAGTTCATTCTGCAACTCCACTGCTGCAGACAAAGGCATGCTACATGGCAATGCGCACTTGTTTTTACATCGTAAAAACCCATGTCTAGTTATTCCAGTTTCTTCCGTGTGTTTTTTGGACCGCTTCTCCTTCCACAATTTTTGTGCTMCTTAAACTWTTCATRTATCAAAATGTTCAGCTCATTCAGGAAATTGCGGCTACGACTTTTAGAATCTTTAATCTGTATACTTTTTACGCAATTTCAATTTTTACAATTTAGGTTATGATGATGTCATCAGTGACATCATCTGTCACATAAGTTACATCATCTATTACATCAGTGACATCATCAATTTGTTTCTCAGCTGTTCTTCAGCTAAAGTTATCAGCAGGAGGCATTCACACTAGCATTTTTGCCCGAAATGCAAATTCTCTAGTTGACCTTCATATTTATTTTTCCAGCTTAGTTTTTGATATCTTTTTCCAGTCTTTATGTGTTTTTACATTTCTGTCTCCTGTTTTTACTTTACCTTATGCACTTCTGCCTCATTATGTAAATAAGGGGGGTGGAGCTTCTTGGATCAGTTCCTCTCTTATTGGTCAGCAGACAGGAAGTAGCAGGATCCATGTGCAGATCTACCGTGCTGCTTCTACGTCAGTTTAGCTTAAAGTTTAGTCAGAAATAAAGGTAAGGAGGAAAACACTCACCTGCGCCTTTGTTTTAGACTAAACTTTAAACTTGAAGCGGCACAAGCGTATCCTGCTACTTCCTGTCTGTTGACCAATAGGAGGGGAGCTGACCCAAGAAGCTCCACCCACCTTATTTACACAATGAGGCAGAAATGCATAAGGTAAAGTAAAAACAGGAGACAGAGAAATGTAAAAACAACAAATGCAAATAAAAAAGACTTGTGGGAAAAATTAGCAATAAAAAATATCATTTGAGACACAAATGCGTGCACAAGTAAAAAGGAAAATTATATAT